ACCGGCCAATAGCAACCCCCTATGGTAAAGAACATAAAAAAACTGAATAAATCCATGGTTGCTTTTCTGATCTCTGGATCAATTTTTCGTCTTGATTCCCATGTTGTGATTATTCTTCCCGTACAGAACATCACCAACATCTCCTTGAATGCACGAGATTACAAAACCAAACCGAAAGTCACGTGCGAGAATAATCAACCCATTGTTCGTCTTGTCACACGTCTAGCAGTTACTCTGTAAAAGTAGGTTTTCTTCAAGTTTCCCCAACTGGCACGTTTTCCAATGTGACCATTGGACAAAGAGCTACTGACCTTAATTTGGTTATCGATATACACGGTTAGTAACTACATTTTGCGCAGCAGGATATCACAGTGTCTAGTCCCATAAAAAAGTAGTCAGGAAACAGGGAAAGTAGCTTCACAAAATATTATTCGGTTTATTGGAAGAAAGCCTCTTTTAAAAATAGGAAGGGAGAAGGAAAACCGCCCATCAATCCATCTTTTCTGATGAACTAGCACTAGGATCAGCTTGTGAACATACATTATGGCTGTGGAAAGCATAACTAAAAAACGTTCAACTAAGAGCATTTCATAAGTACAAAATGTCAAAAAAGAGAGGGAGTACAAATATATATTCCATAGATTAGGATGTACCATTTAAATGCCGAAGGAAAACCAAAATGTACTGGTGCCCAAAATAAGGGACAAAAGCTCAACTTCAGTTGAGATTTTGTCTTGTAAGTGGAGCGAATCACTGCCGAAATGTCGAGAAGCGCTGCACCATTGTTTCGCTCTCATACGGTCTATCATCAAGACGCATCTCACGGCTATTCAGAGGGATGCAAACTCATTTCACTTGCAGAGCAAAACCCCCATTTAAATTTCCAACACTTTCTTGGACTGAACAAAAGTATATACTTTTTCATTGGGGCTGTAATCTTTTTTGAAGAAGCGGGTTTTAAATGTTCAGTGCAGTATTTGGAATATGGTCACATACTAACTTAGGGAGCAATAGTAAAATCTACCTATTTTTATTTAAAACATTGGGTTTTTGGTGAAAATATCTGGAAGGAACCAGCACGCTAGTCGACTTTTCTTCTCTTAGCCGACTGTTGTTGTCGGTAGCCCCTGGAACGTGAATGGCGTGATCAAACCAGCTGAACGGGCTTAATCTAACCCATAATTATTTCAGCTCAGACAATGTTTGACAAGAGTCGACAACAAACTTTTGGAAAAAAGCTTTCTACACACACTACAAGTTAAAGCTTCTTACGGAAGAAAATTTTAATGAAACCTTTTTGAAGGTCGACGAAATTCCCTACAGAATCTTACTTCAAGAAATATCAGTCCGAACATGACAGACAAAAATATTGGAACTGCTATAGTGCATTGCTGACATTAGAATGAAGATGCTTTAGGGAAGTGAACCGTATGGATCGGTCAAGATTTTTTCCCGTGGCGATAAATGGGACATATTTTGAGAATAGTGTTTTCGACCGGAGGATAGCTTTGTCATCCACAAAGTCTATTAAGCTGTCAGCAAGAAGTAAGACGTAATTGAAATATTTTGTGGATTCGGTAGTGCACACGGGATGCTTTCCCAGTACTTATTAACGCAACAACTTTCGATGGCATGATAAGGAACCTGGTGCACATCGTCGCCCGGTCGGCCACTTATCCACTAGCATGAATCTCAAAATCTTCTTGAATTTGCGTCATAAATACTGAAATAAATGGTGTTAAAAGGTAGCTGAATAATAAGTTAAAATACTACGGTCAACTAGTCCCCTTACCATCTTGCGTCACCCAGATCAACTTGAATCGATGATAAAGTGAAAGGGCTTTCTCATCAAGCAGAAAATATGGAGGCCAAAAACCGGCAAAGTTAAAAGACTACCTATGCTTGGTAATTGATCAGTTGGCTCTTGGTCAACTTGCCGATCTTGGGAAGTGACATGCAGGCGTTCCGCCTCTATTCGAGGAGACATCATTAGTGCACTGTTCTGTTTGATTGTGGATGATTTTGGGTGCGTTTTGCAGTCATCACATGTTCTTTGATTCTATATACTGCTATCTAATCCACAACCCATTTTTTAATGAAACTGCTGATATAATTTACAATGCTTTCATACTACCACGGAATTGCATAATTTATATAAGTATATAAACCGAACACCTGTAATTTTTGCTCGTGAATGCATTCATACTAAACGGAGAGACCCTTCATTTTCATATTTCTTGCTTGAAAACAGTGATGAGATAGCACGACTGTTATGGATAATAAAACCTGCTCTTTTAGGCGGAAGGAACCGGACGGTCGCAGTCGGAAGATGGGTTTGCCATGAAGGAAGTCGTTTTCAATAAAGTGACATTATAAATTAATTTAAATGTAAATGCCCCCGACAGTCGCCTTGTGAACAGATGTGCTGACTAAAACCTTGCAGGAATGTACATGTATAAAAATGAATTGAACATGATAGAAGGCAGTATAAAGTCGACTCTTTCACCTATATTGGCTGGAAAAATTTGGCCATAGAAGAATAATCTATTGGTCAATGCGACCTTTACGTTTACAGTGGGAGGGCTGACGTAATCTGATAGCGATCACTACTACCGTTGCGAGTGCAGATTTAAGGACGACATATGAAAAAAATCCTGTACAACAATGACGCTGCGTTGACACGGCGATTCGTATCGGTATATAAGCAACAGTCGCGCCTACCACCTGCTTGATTTTGTTGATCCAGCCATGAAATCATAAACAGAGCTACTCTCTGAGGCAGGCAGCGACGATTGCGTCTCACAGAGTCTGCAGAGCACTTAAAGTTAAAAGTACAAATAAGAACAACAGTGTCGCCGACTGGGGTCACAAATTAAGCACTGATGACCTGAATGAAGTCGAAGTGAGCTTCCAGGACGTGGAAGCAATCAGGTAGCCAAATAACTTCTTACAGAGCTACCTAAGACTGACTGTTACGAAACGATGGAGGCATTCGATCAACCCTAAAACTCTGCCTTGCAGCTTTTCACAGGCAATGGAACTTCTGAACCGTTTACGTTAAAACCAAGGCTTTCTTTAGAAGGAAGATTTCGTGCTTAGAATTCACTTCGGTGACGACCATTTGCTTACTACCAGCTTCAAAGATGAGGCATCAGTCCACAAATTTTTCGATTCCTTACTTATGCGTTAGTAAATGTCGCCCAAACTACGTTGATCCTTTCTAAGACTCGATGTGTGTCTAAAAAATAACCGAGTATTTGAATTGCACAATTGTGTCTCATGTTTTCTTCATAATTAAAACAGTTATTTCTAAACAACTTTGTAAAAAAGTGGTAAAATTCAACAAATTTTAGAGGCACGTGTGGTTTTATGTTGTCCTGAGGGAGTTCGCTTTCGTGAGCGGATACTATAGTTTTTTAAAGATGGTTGCCAAGTCAACGCGCTTTTTTATAAGACGAAAGATAAGACTACCGTTTTTATCATGTCCTATCCCTTGAAGAGATGACTCCGTCTGTGTAGCTCTATTCATTCCACTTGTGCATAGACCCATTTGCTACAAACGCGCTGATTTCCTGTGGAACCACTTAACTATATTAGCGGTAGCAACTACATAATTCATAGATTTTGTCTTCACATCAACTCAATTTCAACGGCCGTTTTATGGTTCTGCTGATATTGTTCTAAATACGTAGCAATAAAGGATGGGAACATTTTCCTCGAGTATTTCTCTTGGCGGAGGTGACCAACAACGTTTATTCTCGGTTATGAAAGAAGTCGAACGTCAAAAAATTGATTTGCGGGGCAGATGTTGTGCGCCTGCCCAACCTGCACCCACCATCGATTAGTCGAGATTTCCAAGCGGGGATACGTTATTTGAGCTCCGCCAAATTCCGAGCAATGTGTGCTACTAAATTTTTGTGAGGGTCCCCCTTCCTCACTTGTAAATTAGCCAAGATACCGGCACCAATTCTCGATAAGTTCTATTGAACCGGGTATATGGGAGAAATACGAGAATCTCATCAGGAGAGCAAACCAAATATTACAACCTTTTAATGCGACAGAAGCCAAGTATGTTTTACAACAGGGGTCATTCACAGGGCTCCTAACCACAAAGTTTTTTTGAGAGATCGTAAACAATACAAATTTAGGTCTAGAGGATTGCAAACAACGAAGGTATCTGGGTAACTGAACGAATCCTTAATCCCAGTAGGGAAAACATTTGAAGCACTCGGTGAGTCACTGGGTACACTTCGGAAAATCTGTGGTTTCCACGACCATACTGAACCAAACCAGCAACCTAATGATGACCACGACCTGATATGAAGATCGGGGCCAGCACGGATAAGCAATTGTCGAAGCACCCGTCGATTGCACTAATTAGAAATTTCGACTTATCTATGGGTTGGTAAAAATCAATTACCGAATAACCTCCTGCTTCAGATAAAAAATCAACATTCATCGCATAATGGAATGGGGAGCAAATAGTAGAACAACTTCACGTCCTCTGTCTAGAGTCCGAAATATATGGCGTAAAGGGAGAGATACAGTTTTGGACTGTTACGATCAAGTATTTTTAATAAGTTTCCTTGTTCCGTAATACAATCCGTTAATTTTCCAAGTCTTTATACTTTTATGTCTACTATTGCTAACTAAAGCTGTTTGGTGATTGACTGACAAGGCATGGTCACTACTTCGTCCACTCCCGTGGTTTCAAGCAACTCTCAGGTTGACAGCTTCATTTTGAACATGACATGCGCCTAATCAGACATGAATTTGCGACATAACTTTACACTATTAAGAGTGCATCACTTTTCCTCATATCCACTAGTTCTATGCACAACCGTTGCGGTAGTCTTCAGTTGTTTAGAAGAATGCCCTACCACAAGTTGCTCTATCAGCCTAGTATATTTCACCCAACTACGAGAAACAGACGCAGTTTTAAGTAATGAGGGTTTGAGTGGCTTTCGGTGATCTCAGTTACACGAAAATTCCCACTTGGTTTAAGTTTTATCAGATGAATGATAGACAGTTGGATAACTCATTTCTTGTCTGTCATTTCGTTGTTCACCCTGAATCTGAAAGCAGTTCAGTCTCAAACACAAGTCGTTTAGGTTGATGAACCTCAGTTTACAGATTCCTTTAAATTTCCGTTGTGTTTCGAAAGATTTTAGTTTCTGTCCTAATATATGTAGGTAAACGCATGAGTTGGAAAGTTGGATGAGGCACAAACCGAACTCGTATTCATCGAGAAGTGAAGGGAAAAGACTGACAAAAGTTGCATACCAGCTTCGGTTATGTGAATAATTTTGTGACTTTAGTAAAACTGATAATATTTTTAATGAATAACGTGCAGGGGTAGATAGTATAAAACAACGGGTGACGCAAAACACATCTACTTACTTGCAAAGTTCACAATCTCATGAAAGTAATCAGATTTAACATGTCAATAGTTCTGAGGTGGAAGAACGAGGGAACAAGGAAAAGGGAGCGGAATCTATCAACTCGTGTATGTGCGTTCTTCAAAGAACCCTGTCGTTCAGCATTGCACAACCTGTGTAAGGAGTTTGAGTTCCGGTTCTGTCTGCAATTTTCAGACAACACTCGCAACGTTCCTCATTCATTTCACTTTGAGAGGAAATCTGCCATGTTTTTAAATTTCTTCTCCAAATAATTTTAACTGATATCAAAAAGAAGCTGAAGTTAAGTCCCAACCTGATATGTTTTGCGTTTGTTAGCTGATATAAGAAAAAGACTGCTTATCAAACAAACTACAGATGGTTTCACTCATGACTGGTAAGGATTTCAAGTGGTTTGACAAAGTAGAAGTCACAGTGCAGATGACAGACAGGTTCCTCAGAAGGCCGAACAACTGCTATCCACTTGAGGCTGCGCATCACTCCCTGTCTATTACGAAGTTTACTAAATCCGTTGAATCTGATTAGAAAGACAGGTACAATCAAGAGGGAGCTAGATGCTCGGTAGACAACTGCTCTTATCTCTTGACAAAATTGTACACGTTATGTAGGATTTCTTTTAGTGTGGCAAAAAGCTGTCGAAACGAAAAAGTAGTCGCCTTATTTTAGTTTATCTAATCATTCATAATTTGGAAAGGGTCTTACACCTACATCAGTCACGTAGTGCAGCGATTATTAGCATCTATTTTGCCTTCGGAAGTTGAAATTTTATGACTTTATGGCAAGAAATTATTCAGTCCCAACGATTTATTTGACGGATAAATGAGTCCTGAATCGAGGAGGACATTTGAGAGACGGATAGTCTTCAAAACAGTTATACAATTACAGCTAAATTGCTTACTTATTACAAAAAAACAGACATTACAGGCCAAAACAAAACTTTTGAGAACAGCGCAACTCAATCTCATGAAGTAATGCGTCTTACCCACTCCACATTAAATCACGCGATCAACTGTCTCATAGCCAGGCAGTTGTTGCGAATCTCACTGAGTCGTCCGTTTGAGGGGAACATTTTCCGGCCTCATCGAATGTTTTCACTAGTCACCTGGATACAAAACTTGTTTTACTAGGTTATCGGGAAGTTTTTGGTAACAGTGTGAGTAGTCTCTTTCATAAAAATATACTGCAATATCTAGCGTATCGCACAAACTAAAAAATGTGGTGGCCCATGTGCAGCAAATTCAGTTGAATGATACAAACAAGAGAGTAGGTTGAGTCTCCCGTGATAGATAGATGAGTGTATTTGTTGAAACTTGGATTAGTTTTCATTAGTGTACTTCTCACAAGATCCAATGCATCTGTAAGTATGACCGTGGTTAGGAAACTCAAACTTGCATTTTCGAGGCGGAACTCTTGCCTGAAAGTGAAACTACCATCTGGAAGGTCGAAAATGCGAAGCTGAATTAGAGGGCTTTCATTCTTGAGTGGCGAAACACATTAATCTGCAGAATTTTTCAGGTGGTTTCCGAATGTTTGTTTGATCGCTCAGTACTTTTGGTCTACACCTCATCATTCGCTTAGGTGACGCCGATGAATTACGCGCTGGTCCAGCAACGATTTTACACTCGTAATCAACAAAGGCCAAATCTAAATCAGGAACTACAGTAACCAAGACCCGAGTCTATATTTACAATACCAACATGTATTGTAGAGATGGTTACTCCTTGCATTCAAAACTGACTTCTCGTTTTCAACAGCAAATTGCCTCAAAATCTAGCCCGGAGCCCCCTTGAATGGCTCGGATACTTCCGTCCGATATAATGTCATTAACATGCTGGTCCATCTGAGCTGTTCAGAGTAGACATCTCATGTCTGATTCCTTACGTCTGATCTGATTTGAGTCTCCGTCTGGTTTTGACTCAGCAAGTGAATTCCGATTTAAAAAACCAATTCCTTTCATCCCCATGTAGTTCCAATCCAAAATTGATTGACCTAGTTGTTGAGCTGGCGGTTTTGAAGCTTCCGTTGATATTTCCAACATTTTATAACTTTACTGCAATTTCGACTTTTTCAGAGATCTTCATCTTCATTCTACTCGGTCAAGAGCAGGAAATGCTACGTGGAAAACTGAAACTTCTCTTTTCAGAACAGATTCGGTCATGTGCAGTGGTCATGAAAGTGATACATCCACCAAAGTCTCAGTGCATGGGTTGCAATAACATCTGATACGCTCGTAACATGTCAGGCAACCTTGCTGCAGTTCTCATTCTACCGTTTCAATAATGCACAATAATGTATGATTGACTTTTGTACTGGTGTAGCGATGGATACTACTGATGAGGCATGCGAGTACAACGGTTCCTTGTAGCTCCGCTTTTCGTCTATTGGGAGGTAAGATTTACTACGGAATTGCTTTGAATTGCTTTCTAGCAATCGTTTATATTTGAGCGATAGTCAATGAATATCCAGGGAAGTTCAGAAAGACGCGCTCGATAAGAAGACGGATATTCAGTTTTTATAAACAAGATGCACATGAGAGTTTTGCTTCACTGTCCAATAGTCTGTAACTTTTCAGTTGGTATTTTTTTAATTGATAACTTCGCTGCGTAGGTCTATTTCCTTTCACTAATACACAAAACAGCGCATCTACAAGGTTTACAAGATGTAACCAATGCCTATACTTTGCATGAGCCGAGCAGGAAAACTCGCGTGGATGAAAAATTTAGTTCATCTGTCAGGTCAGCACAAATGAGGAAATTTTCGGAACAGATAATTTTTTTTCTTGGAATCCGAGGTCGTTGTAATAAGTAGATTCTTGCAGGAAGTACGCAATACTTTCCTCCTTCGAATCGTTTTTGGGGGTCTTTTGGGAGTGGCTATTCACAGTTGCACATGTTCATTCTGATTTGTAGTTTTCATCTCATGTTTTAGATGCAAACACTAGTTGTCTAAACAAATCATTTTCGCTTAAATCCTTGGTTTACAGAAAGCTTAGATGAACCCTATGTAGTACAAAATGCATCCATTCATAAGATTTTCTAGATGCTCCAAAATGCTTTTAGGGGTTGGGTCATAAGATACGGGCTTTTTATAACGGTTATGGTATTTGAAGTACAGATCAAGGGTTTCGGTAGGAAGCTAGTAAAAGGTGTGACAACGGGAAAGTTGCGTGGTACTGCAGGGCGCTAATGATCAGCTTGAGTTCAAGAAATTCAGTTGATCCACTTAAACCACTAGCCTTTCTACACTCAGTTAAATAGAAGCAGACAGAAACCAACTCTCACCGTCAGGCGAATCCAACTTCATTGGTGTTCTGCAGTGGTAAATTGAGTTGAGGTCTAACTAAATTTGGTTGTTCTCACCTAGTAAACCTAAACTAGAACCTGTTTCTTCAGCTGGCTGAGTAATATAAAGGGCTCATGAGTTACGGAGTAAATAAGCTGAGTGGTACTAATTACATTGTGAACAGTACATACATTTGCGACCGATTAGAAAACATTAGACAGGTTGAAGCTACGCTTGCTACCGAGGCACGAAATGACCCATTCTCCAGGACATTGGATGATTAGTTTGTCTCAAGGTCACTCACATGGTTTAATTACCACTATTTATTCCTTCACAAGTGAGTGTACTTAGTTATCAACAAAGTTGTTAAAAAGAACAGCACGATGAAAGAAATTCACTTGGCAATTAAAGGGTTGCAGAAAACCTTCAAAACATTTTCGGTCGGTCAGGAAAAAGATGAGCGAATGCGTCTTCTCTTCAAGCTGCTATTAAATGGGAACGGACTGAACAAGAGAACTATCAGAAAACAGCCATATGTAGAAATATGTATGCAACTTATCACATGGTTTCGTTTGTCAAATGCTTTGCTGTTTTCTCAATGGCATCAGATGTCTTTCAAAATAGATGCCTTTGTCTGCCCGGCCTGGATCAGCCGGACCCTCTGTAACGTTGCATTTCAGATTGTTACACGCAGTTTGACGTGAGAACTGAGATAGAAGTTGGGGCGCTATTTCAAATGGGGTCTTCTGTCAGTCCCGAGGAGCTGTCTACTGAACAATCAGTCTTGTGATAACTCTTTGGGTGAATGTATCAGAATCAGTCTCGTGTCCATTCGGTTGACCCATTCTTACCGGTTACTGAAGGATTAAGTGGCGGGCGCACGTGGTGAATAGTAGTAGAACTTCAGCTTTTTCATGTATTTCACAGGAAAATTGACTGTTGATGACAGTTTGGTCTCGAGCCTTTGAATGACTTCAAGTCCAAAAACGTTTCCGAAAAGAGTAAGAAATCCCGATTCATGTTCAACGAGCGGCTGTAACCGCAGCAGGCTGCATGCCATGTGAAACAACCAAGCTTTGAAACAAAAGCATAACAAGAATATTGGTGATATTGTGGAATTTGGAGACCTCGGAAGCGTTGGTTGGTTGTTTAAGGAGCTTGGCAGTTGAATTGCAAGCAAAACAACCACAAGACACCTCACCTGCTCTTCCCATATTCCACAATATCGTCAACAGGGTGGGCGTTCCCTTTACCCTTACATGTCGGCTGGCTCACTCGACGAAATGTTTCCTCCCTACGCGAATGAATGCGACGAGGCGCTTTATGTATTCCAACTACCGATCTCAACGTACAGACTAGCAACCAAACAGAAAAATGTGCCCAGACACATGCGTCTTACCAGAGTGCATTTATCGAGAGGTGTTCTCGCCTTATTGCTAGAGTCCCACTGATCGAAATATTTCATCTACATGACTGATCTTACGTCCAGAATTGTCCACTTGTAAGGCTTGCCTTCACTTACAGTTATTGTCATAATAACACGAATTCGACCCTTCATGAGTTATGCCTTTACAGTGAAGGGCAGGTCGTTTGTTCTGCTGATATGTTCCACGGGTGATATCCGCTGTTCTGAAAGATTTTAAATAACCGGAACAAACTACGGGGAGGATTGATACCCCTGCATGCCCTCTCTCCGGGACGAAAAACGCGTCGAGGGACGGTCACACCGGACAAAATGTTGCGGCCACTTGAACGTGTATTTCGAGAGCACTGCTTCATAAGGTGATAAGTCCAAACGGTTGACTGCATTGCTTGGGATTTATCTTTGAATTATCCGTTATTCTATGTATTTTTTGACTCGTGTGCGAGCGAAAAAGTTAGGTAATTTTACTGTACAGTTTGGATGAGCGTCATTCTAAAAG